CTTCTTATGCCACTGCATAGTGGAGAGATTTCAAGTACTTTCCGATGGTCCACAATGACTCCATACAACCCTTATGATGCAATCGATTTTCACAATTAATCCCTCCATGCATAATATCCACCAGGCATGCCATTCATTTATTGCAATGAATAGTTAATAGAATCGTCGTGCTGCTACGAGATCTGTATCCGAAAAATTGATTGTTAAAAGTCACAATTCATAATCAAGAGTAAACACTGAAATTATTTTGAAAAGCTTGATACTAGATGGACGGTTCTGAAAAGCATGATACGTAGATGGAAGGTTTTGAAGAGTTGAAAACTGGTCAATGAAACAAAAGCAATGTAGTGGGAATTACGAGATTAAAAAATTAAATTCCCACCGTACTATGAAATTATACGGAACCATTACAGTAGAATGCGTTGGCTCATGTTTACTTAGGGGTTGTTAGGGCCATAGTAAAAGAACAATTAATTTACACTAGTCTCGCAGACAACATGTGATCAGAAGATGCTACGTGCTCCAAAAATTGTCAGGCTGCAATTTCTTAACTCAGTATATATATAAATATAACTCAACAGATATTTAAGAAAGCTCAACAAAAAATAAATGATGACTACCAAGAAAGGCTGTATCTTTTGTTCTATTATACTTTTAAAAATGAAAATAACTTTTCTAACACAATGATTTATTTCAGCTAACTGCTACCGCTTTAGGCCTGACTTTCAGTGGAGCTGAATTTATCTCACGTCGCTGGCATGCGGCCTTGCTCTGTCTAATGGAAAGCACAGCTAAAATTCACGAAGTGAAAACGTTAAACGTTTAAATATTGAATGAACTCCTCGAATTGTTTCGTGCAGTTTAAAAGAATTTTACACTTACATAAGCTTTGTTTGTGTTTTTTTCACACAGTCCTATTAATATAAATCAAAATATATATAGGAGATTTTGGCAGCCCTTTTTAGTCATTGGCTTATGGAGCTAAATCCATTTAGGCACGTTCAATGTGTTACGTTCGATTTGTCACGTTTAATGTGTCACGTTCACTGTTAACATGCTATGCAAGGCGATTTTTCTGGAGCTGCGCAGGATTAGTCACATGAGGCCCTTCCTAACAATTGATACAAGAAAGAGGCTGATGTCTGCATTTGTGCTATGACTCATGGACTATTGCAATGCTCTCATGGTGGGTCTTCCAGCTACGCTCCTGGATAAAATTCAAATATCACAGAATAATGCGGCTCGCATAGTTCTCCGCAAACACAAATTCGACCATGCAAAAGCACTTCTGAGAGAGTTGCATTGGCTGCCGGTGCGTGCTCGCATAGAGTACAAAATCGCAACTTTGTTCTACCGCTGCTTACATGACCAGGCGCCGTCCTATCTGAAAGAGCTGCTGACGCCTTATGTACCCACTAGAGAGCTCCGCTCATCCGATAGTGGCAAACTCTCGACACCCCGTGTTCGCCTTGAGACTTACGGAAAGCGCACTCTCGCATTTGCTGGTCCAACAATTTGGAACGCCCTTCCTGTCGATCTCAGAAACAACCAGACATTGGAGTCCTTTAAAACCGATCTAAAGACACATCTATTTCGCAAATACCTTCTGGGATGATTGTCTACCTTATTTTCCAGTTAATGCATAATGGCTGTGTTGCTCCGGGTTGAAATGGCTAGAAAGACTTTGAGATTGTATGCTTGTAATTAGTTTTTGTAGTGTTGCGTTTGTTTTAAATGTGGTAAATTATAGATATGTTTTTTGTTGACTTTGTACCTTTAGTTTTTGTAGTGTTGCGTTTGTTTTAAATGTGGTAAATTATAGATATGTTTTTTGTTGACTTTGTACCGCGCTTCGAGCCTTTGGGGATGAAGCGTGTTTTTGAAATGAACTTTATTATTATTATTATTATTATTGTGTCAAGTTCAATGCACCATGTTTATGATGTGACGCAAGTGTCATCACAGAGCCAAAATAGGATTTAACCCTATCCGTTGTACCAATTCTCTTCTTGATAGGCTACGCTATTCCTGTTAGCAAAAGACATCCACCACTCATCCTCTCTCAAAATGTCACCACTAAAAGAATTTCTTTTTTAAATAGTTTTTGTAACTAATAGAAATAACCTAAGTTATGACACACGGCTTTACTATAATATAAGACTTGACTTCTGGCATTGTTCCCGATCTTTGTAAGACAGCTGTCCTCAAACCATTACTTAAGAAGTCTGGTCTTGATCAAAATAATTTTTTTTCAACATTAGACCTGTATCAAATTTATCATTTTTATTGAAAATTGAAAAACTACTTCTAAATCAGCTTTTTTGCTTACTTGAATGATCACTCTCTTCTCAGTCCTAATCAGTTGGCCTATAGACCTTTTCACATCACAGAGACAGCACTCTTGAGAGTCAGCAGTGACCTTTTGCTTGCATTTGGACGGCGGCGATGTCTCCGTCATTATCCTCTTAGATCTCAGTGCGGCCTTTGATACCTTTGACCAGCAAACCCTTGTCAAAACCCTTGAAAATTATGTTGGCATTTCTGGTTTGGTTTTTGGCTTGGTTTCGGTCCTCCCTCTCTGATAGAACGCTGGCGGTCGCTGTCGATGGCTGTCTCTCCGGCAGTGCTGACTTGGTGTACGGAGAGTCACAGGCATGGGCGCCCGCAGAAAACTTTCTAGGGGGGGGGTACTTTTTAGTAATGTTTTAATGTAGTTTTAATTTAATGTAGCGTATTTGTATGGTGAACGAACGGACAGGAGGACATCAGCTTAGTTACTTTCTCTTTATTTTCTCTTTACTTTAATACATTTTTTTGTCTATTTTTGTCTAAAATTTTATTATCCAATCAATCCAGGGGGGCAAGTGCCCCCCCCCCCCTGTGGGCGCCCATGGTCACAGGGGTCAGTTTTGGGTCCCATCCTATTCACAATGTATACCAGGCCACTGCTCCTCTTGCTCGGGAAGCATTCTGTTGAGAGCCAGTCACTCGCAGATGACATGCAGCTATACAAGCCTAACCACCCCGCTCTTGTCAATTCCGCTGTCCCCACCTTGCAGGAGTACAGTGGTTATGTCTATGTCATGGATGACTCACATCAAGTTGAAGCTGAACGATGACACAATGGAAGCACTCCTCATTCACCATCATGACTCATCCTCTAACTCATCTCGTTTCAAGCGGGGTAACTCCGATATAGTGTTCACATCCTCTGCTAGGAATCTTGGTGACATACTTTCTGACAACATGTCTCTCAATAATCATAGTTTCACATCTGTCGCTCTGCATACACCACTATTCATCAGATAAGCTGAACCCGCCAATACCTCACAGTTAGCACAACAAAAACACTAGTATGTGCTCTTGTTTTCTCTCGTCTTGACTTTGGTAATTCTCTTCTGTCAGGTTCATCAAAACACTTTATAGAAAAACTGCAGAAAGTTCAAAACTCAGCTGCTAGGTTAGTTCTAAAGGCAAAGAAAAGCGATCACATCATTCCACTACCCTCACTCACTTCACTGGCTCCCTATACAAGCACACATTGATTACAAGTACAAGCTGTCTGTTCTCTGTCAATTTTTTTTTCTCTGGTTCCTGCCCTTCCTATCTTAATGAAATTCTTACTGCGACTGTCTATTCACCTCTTCAAAAGCTTCGTTTCTCCGCGGACTCGCGTATTCTTTCTGTTCTCAGAACACGCAATAAAACATATGGTGAACGATCTTTCTCTTTCTGTACCCCAAAATAATGGAATTCTCTCCCATTACACATCCACAATATAACAACCACCATAGCCTCCAAAACGGCCCATCTCTTTAAACTATACTATACCGACTCATTCTCACCCCACTGCTAACTGATAAACAACACTCTACTCTGCTGGATGCTGTCTATGACTAGACATGGTAGATGGTACTTGGGTGGGTGAAGACAAGCTTTTCACCAATTATTGTTTTTTAAATGTATACGTTTCTGTAATTGCTAATTTGTATGTGAAGCGCAGTGAGCCTAGCCCTAGGCTGGGGGTATTGCGCTATATAAAAACCCTTAATAATAATAAAGTCAGGTTGCTAGAAATGAAATTTTAAATTTATGAAGCAAAGTTTATAAAGCAAGATCACGTGGCGATCATTTATATTTAATAGAAAAATTCTTATAGATTTATTCATAATTAACATGCCAAAAACACAGCCATGACTATTTATAAATCTCAGAGCACTTGTTTTTTTGTTTTGTTTTTTGTTTGTTCTTATTTTAATTCTTCTTATAAATTAATATCCAAGTCCTAAGATCTAACTGTAAACTTCTATCAAGATAAGAAACAAGGAAGAAAACTGTGGTCATGTGAGTGTGACGTGTCACCATCAGTTTTGATTGATTAACATTGGGCTAAGGCGGGGCCAAACTGGCTTAATATAAAAGTGTGATTTCAACTTATTTTATGGCGCTCGCATCTGTTATATATCCACAATTCAAAGGTAGATGTCAATAGCATATTGTCTATTTCTTGCAAATAGTGTGAATTAATTAACTTCGAAACTGTTATATCGGTGGTGAAACATAATTCGCTTAAAAGCTGTGCTGCAAAAAATAACTAATTTTTTTAAACATAATTAAAATCACATTATTATTTTATTAACTGAAGTTATTCAAATAGTGTAAATATCAGATATTAAAAAAGGCAAGCGAAGAAATATATAATCGTAAATTAGCATATCGATTGGACAAAAATTATTTATTTGTTGTGATCCCCTGGTTTAAAGAATGGTGACCAAAACAGAATAAATGTATCAAGCACCAATTCATATACTTAAAAATTCTTAAAATATGCATTTCATTTTGCGTTGTTATTTACTTGTGTAATTAAACCAATGATTATATAAATCTGTTTTTCAAAGGAAAATTTTAAATTCTCATTTTGTGCCGTGTTCCTGATGGTTTTTTTTTTTTAATGTGTAATTATTATTAATTAATTTTTTTTTTCATTCAAAATTTCTCAGATGAGGGCATTTAGTGTTTTTTCGCTGTTCTTGGTTTTATCCGTTGCTTGGGCTAGACCTCATGTTTTCAGGAGGGAATCCGGTAAGTAAAAAACAGCGAGAACTATATTTCTCCAGAATATCTTCATTTTTTAATTTTGTTGTTGTTGCTGTCGGTGTTTTGTTGTTTGTTTTCGTTAAACGTTATTTTGAAATAAAATATGGTAATCTACCGCTTGAGCGTCGGTTATGAAAAAATTGTATTGATCCGGTTTGAAGTGCTAGAGCTAAACGGTTTTTATTTTATTGATAAGATAAAATTCTTTTATTGATCAAAATAAATGGAAATGTTGTTTTTTTTTTTTTAAATGACAGTGTACGCATTCATTTAAGTACATATATTAAAGACAACATTTTTAAAATAGAAAAAGGGAACTCTTTAATAATTTATCAAGTAGAAATTTTTATTACTATTTAAAGTATAAAAATAAAACAGAGTTGAGTTTATATCATCTCCATGAAAGCGCTTGCGGAACATGAACTCATGCAAATATTAAGGGAAAAGATCACGGCTTGTGCCAAACTGTCTTTTCAGTTTGAGCTTTCCGTGCATCTACAATGGTTTATCCAGTCTGTGAGGGGACACCAGCGTCATTTGGACTGAAAACGTGTTGTTGACGGACAACAACGGAGTGTTCTTAGATTCCGCGTCTGATCTGGTTGATGTTTGTACAAGCCGCCAATCCATCTGATACAATAAGTGAGCCTGGCAGAACATATCGCTCTGTGCACTGCTATAACGTGATCGCACGTCATTCTGACACTACAACGAAAAAACAGCGCCCACTCTCTCTCTTTATATGCCACCGAAAACCTAGTGGCCCTCTCCAATGTACTATTAACGGACATCAATAACAAATAATCGTTTGAATGTCACTTCAAACCGGAACAATATGATTTTTTTTATTAAACGACGCTGAAGTGGTAAATTGCTTAAAATATATTATAGAAACCAGTCCTTAAATTAAAAAAAAAAATGTGTGTGTGTGTAAATTGATACCAGTCGTTAAATAATACTCATGGCAGTGCCATGCTTTGTTGTATGACGCATTTATAGTGACCAAAAAGCAAAACGATACATATACACCCAACACTTATTTATACAACATTTCACAACGTTGTGCTAAGTATAGAGAACATAGAATTTAAGCACATATTATTATCGAGATCACAATTTATTTATATCTTTGAAATTTTTGAGGATCCTCGACTTTTTTATTCTGAAATAAAGACATATTATAATATTATAATTTCAAAAAGTGCATGTATATATCTAAATTTAAAACATTTTCATACAACAAAGAATGAAAGCTATACAGCATCTACAATTCAATTATAAATCTAGTTAATCCATTAGAATTGCCGACATAATGAAATGACTGATATTTATGAAGTTTTTTGTTGTTGTTGCCGATATTGTCTTGTTAATTGTAGGCTACATTGTAAGTTATCGTCCATATCTCGATTCGGTTTTCAGTACGGCCTGCCTTATCTGCAGGGCAGTGCCTTATCTGCAGGGCAGTGCCTTATCTACAGGGCAGTGCCTTATCTGCAGGGCAGTGCCTTATCCGCAGGGCAGTGCCTTATCTGCAGGGTAGTGCCTTATCTGCAGGGCAGTGCCTTATCTGCAGGGCAGTGCCTTATCTGCAGGGCTGTGCCTTATCTGCAGGGCAGTGCCTTATCTGCAGGGCAGTGCCTTATCTGCAGGGCAGTGCCTTATCTGCAGGGCAGTGCCTTAAAACATTTTTTTTTTAAAACTTGGTTTCTCACCACTCCCTTGCCTCTCTAGCTCCAGCCTTCAGCAATAGCTCCATCTGTATTGACGCAATAAATTGGAAATAGCTACTGGTTGGACAATACTCTGCTCTTAACTGAGTCCCCATGCTCTGGGACGGGTGACATAGTTTCGACCATGGTTTACTTTTTTCACGTTCGCGGCATTTTTCCACCTAATCGCCCTACTTCTTTAAAATTTGCTTTAAGCCACCATTTTAACAACTAAGTGTGTCATTGAAATTTCTTGGCTGGGGCCGGGTGGCCCACTATATGTTCACCAAAGCGTCTGCTCGCTCAGTTCCATCCACACATGTGTGCCTGGAATCCAATGGATGGAAAGTGCCCTTTTCACTTTGGATGAAATCTATTAGATCAAAGATGGGACTTAGAATCGAAACGCAAATCGAGCAGTTTCGAAAATCTCTCGGGGTCAAACAGCAGGTCAGTGAAGTCTAGGGCTCAGGGGGCTTTTATCCTTTGGGGAAAGGGCCCACTGATGCAAAGTTTTACTGACTTTATTCAAAACAAAATTCATTTCCTAAGATAAATAAAATGATTTCTAAAAAGCGTATTTTCTGTGTCTTTTATTAAGTGACATTATAAGAATCGTCATTTGATCTGTTGTCCCATTTTTTTAAAAATGAAAACACCCAGAGATATTATGTTGAACCCCCCCCCCCACTAAAAGTCATGGAAACAATAATTTTGAAAGCTTTTTGTTTAGTAACGCAACCACCTTACTCACTTCCGATAGTTTTTTTTTTAATTGCTCGCTCCCAATATCCAAAGATTTCCAAGAACATTCAATACCAACAAAAATAATTTACCCAATTGCACATCTTATTGTAACAATGACGCCAAAGGGAAACATGCCAATGAAATCACTGGTGAGTGATGACTGGGTTGCAGGTAGTGAGTCACAGGACTGGAGTTCACATTAATTTACCTTTAATTGTCAACAGCAGTAATCCACCCCCAACCCCAAACCACAAGCAGAAATAACATGCTGAAGTCGAAGCACTGTGCCGTATTGGTACAAATTATCTAATAAAACAGCACAAAAAATCCACGAATAACGTTTTGAATAAACCATCGTTTAATGTTATAGTTAAACTCTTAAAGTTTGGAAGTTCTTATAAAATTAAAACATAATATTCGCCGTATTTTCTATCAGTCTCATTATTATAGTATAAAAAGATTTCTCAAATTCTCAGTCATTTTTTTTTAGTCTTGCTAACTCTGCAGGCACCTTCCTTCTGTAAACTTGAGAATCGGTGACTTCGAGAAAGCGATTCAAACTTTGTTAAAATACTCCTCAGACGATGAAAGTAAGAAAAAACACCCTTGCAAAAATCTTAAGTTGTACATTCATTTTTATTACAGATTGCGTTTTTTAAAAATCCTTTTTACTAAATTCACTTTTGTTCGTGTTTTTCTTGCAAGATGAGTGTGTGGCAAAATCTTCTGACGGCTAATTGACCCACTTCCCGTCAACCTGTCGAGCTGAAACTTGGCACATAGACTTGTTACCAATGGCAGCATATTCTCTCATATTTTCAGCCATATCCACAACCCGCAAAAATCAGTTTTTCCTTTATTTTCAAGGGGAAGGTGAAGGAAATATGATGACACTGATTTCGCGAAATAAAATTCCCGAGAAATGCGCTAAATGAGATTCTTTCTCTTTTTTGTTGTTGTAAATATCGCAAATGCGTTTGGTGCGTGATATTTTATTTTTTTCCCCCTGAAATAGTTGGTGATATAAATCTGCGGTGGGACTTTAGAATATTAATATAAAATTTAAACAAAAATATATATGAAAAATGCATGTACAGGATTTTTGCGAAAAACTTTGTTTTTAGAGGTTATAAAATAATATTTAAAGTTTCATAAACCACTGAAAATGTACAGTTAATGATATTTCAAAGCAGATTGATATTTTATAATGCATACTTAAATGAAGAACATGTAAATATTATGCATTATGATTAAATCAATTCAAGTATCAATTTTAATATTCAAATACAAGTTATTCATTCAAATTCATGACGGGGCTGAAGTTTAATCTGTTCTCACTGGGATTATTCAATTAATAAATTTAAAAAAAAAAAAAAATCTACTTCCCATTTTGTCCCATCAGCAGTGTGACACGTGAACATGCCCTTAGGAGAGGCTTGGACAGTTCATGTTATGGATTAGCCAGATTAGTTCCACCTTACTTCCTGCTTAGCGGCTAGGGGTGAATGAGAAGATTGACAGGCCTGCGAAAATGAGATTAGACTTTAAACAGAGTGAACGTGCATTGAGCCGAAGGCTGTTGAGGACATTGTCCACTTAGCACATTGGCCATTTAGCACATTTTGGATTCAATGAGGGAAAACCGTCTGCCATATAACTATAATGCAGCCAGCTTACTTTCAGAACAGAGGGCAACTGCTGTTCAAAAATCTATTTAATTTCCTTAGAAAATTCAGACACTACTACTCGCGAAACCATCATAAGATCACGAGACTACGTACAAAGTTTTCACTATCTGAAAGCAATAAAATATGAAAAGCATAAATATCTTCTGAAATATAATTAGTATAAAAAATTATATATATATGCAGAGAATTGATACCTTCTGAAATATAATTAGTATAAACAAGTATAAGTATAAGTCATATATTCATAATCCCCCAAAATCAAGTAAAATATTGGGGCTTCACAAGTGTCAAAGGACTTCTGAAAAGGTTTGGAAAAGAGTGGGGGCCGAGGGATTACAGTATGTAACCAAACTACATAAGTAGGTCATTGCCTCCACCTTGCCTGTCATTTGCAGAGGCGTAGCTAGAATTTGTGACCCCCGGGGCCATCCTTGACTTTGCCAAAATCCCAAAACATGCAGAATTCATATAAAAACATAAACCATAAACAGTATAAGCAGGGAAGTGAGTGAAAATCCCCGTCCTTCTTAGAAACTGCTGAACAAGGCGAACACCCTTCCACCCCCCCCCCCTTTTCTTCTTACGCCAGTGGCTTATACCTTCACGACTACAACATTTGCCTGGTGTGGGTGGGATGAGGGGGTTCCATGAACTAAAATAAGTTGAATCGATGCCTTGTAGACAATTATCCGCCGTAACCTTTAACAAATTATCCATTACAATATTGTTATGCTTTGTACTTTTCCAGGTCAAGAAAATGGTAGCCAAGGTCCACAGAAACTGGGTACGTGTCGACGTAGTTGGTGATGTGTATGTTGTTATGGAAATGATGTTATGCGTGTTGAAATAGGAATGATGTTATGCATGTTGAAATAGGAATGATTTTATGTATGTTGAAATAGGAATGATGCTATGCATGTTGAAATAGAAATAATGTTATGCATGTTGATATAGGAATAATGTTATGCATGTTGAAATAGGAAGGATGTTCTGTATGTTGAAATAGGAATGGTGTTATGTAATGCGTTTAACTGGTGTTGTTGATGTGTTCATTTTATTGTACATCACCTGCTCGGAAATCTGAATGTTGACGTTACAAAAAATATATGGTCAATGATACCGATTAGTAAAAAGAAATTGGAGAACCATTCGAAGAGGGGGCGATTCAAGTCAGAATCATACATTCTAGAACTTACTGTGGGGGATTTTATCAGAGCTGTACTTACTCTCCATCCAAATACTCCCATGATAAAACACACTCTTACATTTACACACACACACATACACAGACTCCAATGTTCACAAACACCATCCTGTTGCCACCTACTGACATTCTCCGCCAACCAGCAAACCGTGCTTGGTTGAAACACAACGAACTTTGCCACGCAAGTGATGCGTAAATTCGAACAGTTCGAAGACCCCCCTCATTTATAGGAGGAGCCCCAACTAACCACCAAAACATTTTAAAAATCTATTTCGGTACAAGCCAATCCAGTTTTTTCTTTTTGTTGTTGTTTTTGTTGTCGCGTTGTTTGGCTCAGACATAATTGTCCACTGTTTTAGAATGATAGAGCACGGTCTAACGCAATGCATCCTGAATGAACTGTTCATTTGTCACCTCTATGAACTGTTAATTAAGTGGTCACTTCGGTGAACTGTTAAACTGTCACCTCGATGAACTATTAATGTGTTTCATTGAGCTGTTAACTTTCAACTCAGTAAACTGTTAATTTGTCACCTCAGTGAACTTTTAAATCGTCACTTCAGTGAACTGTTAAAATGTGATCTCAGTGAACTGTTAAATTGTCACCTCATGTAACTATTAAATTGTCTCCTCAATGAACGGTTAAAGTATCACCTCACTCAACTGTTAAATTGTCATCCAAACAGCTCGTTTGTCCCCACCTCTTCAAGAGGCCACCGCCAGCCCTGCGCCCAATGTAGCGACAGGAGGTAAGAAAGTGGTGCTGGCCATTTACATTTACCAATCAATGAACTGTTAAACTGTCATCTCTATGAACTGTTAAATTGTCACCTTAATGAACTTTTAAATTGTCACCTCAGTGAACTGTCAAATTATCACCTTAGTAAACTATTAAATTGTCACCTCTGTTCAGCTGTCACCACAATGATCTGTTAAATTGTCATCCAAACAGCTCATTTGTCCCAAGCTCCCCAAGAGGCCACCGCCAGTCCTGCGCCTAATGTAGCGACGGGAGGTAAGAAAGTAGGGCTAGCAATTTACATTAACCAAACAATGACGCGGCAACACAATCTGCTAATAATTTTGATGAAGATTTTTTTCCCCCTCTCTTCTGCTGAGTTGAAGTTGAGAACATTAATGGCACTTAAATTGGGGATTACATTAAGTACACGTCTATTGCAACAGAAGAGTTTGTGTCATGGAAGCAATAGTAATAAGACAAAATTACCACCTCACTATGCACTAAAATATCCTGACAAGATGCTTAACGTCAATAATGTAAAATTAACCATAGACTTTAATTATAATTATTTTTTTTAATAACGTAATTATTCTGATTGGTTCTTATATACAGTGGGTATAGTTTGACCTGCTTTGTGCACAAAAAAAAAAAAAAAATAAAAAAAATTCCAGAGCTTAAAAAAAGGTACAAAACCAACATCATGTTTCAACTTCTAAACTCTGTAGCTGCAAAAATTCATTAAAAAACCCCATTCCGTATTTAAAATATAAATAAATAAACATACGGGTCTTATCGCCTACGAATTGTGTTTAAGTAAAATAAAGTCACGTGATTAACTAAAGTAAATACAAAAAATAGGTTAATTGATATTTCGTTTATGCTTTTAACTTGCACCACTAGATAAAATACAGCCTGCTGACAGCCAGCAGAGCGGAGAATCACAAATTCCCACACGTCAACAATATGAGCAAATAGCTCAACAACAAGCTATGGCTCAACAACAAGCCCTGGGTCAACAACTAGCCATGGCTCAACAACTAGGCATAGCTCAACGACAAGCCCTAGCTCAACAACAAGCTTTGGCCCAACAGCAGTTTTTGGCTCAACAAATCTCGGCACAGCGACAAGCCGCGGCTCAGCAGCAAGCCCTAAACCAGCAACGGGCTTTGGCCCGACAACAAGCTTTGGCTCAACAGCAAGCTATTGCCCAACAACAGGCTCTTGCCCAACAACAGGAACTTGCCCAACAACAAGCAGCAGCCCAACAGCAAGCCCCCCAACAACAACCCCCCACAACTCACCAACAGTATGAACCCGCCCAACAACAAGAGCAACAACAGACCCCCGTCCAAACCCGTGAACAGTATGAACGCCAACGATATGAACAAATGATGCTAGCCCAACAACAGGCCAGGGCCCAGGAACAAAACTACCCCCAACAAAACCAACAACCATCCCACCAAGAAGCTGAGCCAGTCTCACAGCAACAGGAAATGCCCCAGGCTCCAACACGGGAACAGTATGAGCGAATGATGTTCGCACAACAACAGGCCTATGCCCAACAACCAAGATATCCCCAACAGCAAGCCCTTCCCCAACAAACCCAATCGCCGACCCATGAACAAAATGAACCAACGAATCCTCAACAACAACAGTCTGCCCAACAAAACCCCCAGTCCTCTCCACGTCAGCAATATGAGCAAATAATCTTTGCCCAACAACAGCAACAAGCTTGGGCCCGGCAGCAAGCCCTTGCCCAGCAACAATCTCTCGCTGAACAACGACTCATTGCTCAACAGGCATATGCCCAACAACAAGCCTTTATCCAAAAGCAAGCGTATGCCCAACAACAAGCTATTGCCCAACGACAAGCCCTTGCCCAACAACAGGCCCTTGCCCAGCAACAAGCAGCAGCCCAACAACAAGCCCCCCAACAACAACCCCCCACAACTCGCCAACAGTATGAACCCGCCCAACAACATGAGCAACGACAGACCCCCGTCCAAACCCGTGAACAGTATGAACGCCAACGCTATGAACAAATGATGCGTGCCCAACAACAAGCCAGAGGTCAGGAGCGAAACCAACAGCCAGAAGATCATGAACAAAATCAGCAGCCAGCCCGCCAACAAGCTGAGCCAGAGAACCAGCAACAAGAAATGCCACAGGCTACACCACGCGAGCAGTATGAACGAATGTTGGCCCAACAAGTCTTTGCCCAACAGCAAGCCCTTGCCCGGCAACAAGCCCTTGTCCAACAGCAAACGCTTGCCCATCAACAGGCCCTGATCCAACAGCAAACCCTTGCCCACCAACAATCCCTGGCCCAACAACAAGCCCTCGCCCAGCAACAAGCCCTTGCCCAGCAAATTTTCGCTCAGCAACGAGCGCTGGCCCAACAGCAAGCCGTGGCCCAACAGCAAGCCGTGTCCCAACAGCAAGCCTTGGCCCAACAGCAAGCCTTGGCCCAACAGCGGGGTCTTTTATCCGTCTTTGGCTATCCAGGCGTCCAACGTCCAGCCCAAGCTTCTGATTCTGATGAAAAAGAAGAAGATCAATCACATGAGCCTTTAAGCTCCTACATGCAGAAAATCAGATCCCAAAATGTCAACGAAGAACCCCAGGAGGCAGTCTCCACTCCTTATAGAGGTAAGACGACTCAGCTATTGCACTCTGAAAGTATGGGTTTCTGAACACACACACAAACACACACACACACATGGGGCTAAAAATTTGACAACCCATGCATAGGATTAACGCTTTTTTTATAAGAATCCCCATTTGTGATTGCCCCCCCCCCCAAGGCTGGCTCGAAACGGCACTTTTTTTTCTTTTATGCCGAAACGTCCTTGTTTTTTGTCCTGTTAGCTTATTTCAAGCTTCCACATACCTCGTTTCACTATTTCATTCATTTACTTTTTTTTCTTCACGCCCCTGAACTGTATTAATATTCTAATTCCCACCCGCTTTTAAATAGCGGATTTATTTCACCAACTATTTCAGAAAAAACAAGAGAAAAATATTGCGCACCAAACGCACTTGCCATATTTATTTTAAAGAATGTAACTATCGCAGTTATCGGGAATTTCATTTTAGCTTCCCCTAGAAAAACAGGAAAGCTGACTTTGGGGGGCTGACAATTTGATTTGAAAGTGTTGTCGACGGCAACAATTCTAAGTGCTAAGTTCCAGCTCGATAGGTTGACGGGAAGTGGGTCAATTAGCCATCCGAAGATTCTGACAGCCGGGCCACACGCAAACAAAAGCTAAGTTAATATAAAGGATTTAAAAATGTCCGTCCTTTGTTTATTAATTCTCTAATACATTTGGTTTTACATTTAATATCTGATTCCGTTTTCATATATTTGTTCAGCTCTTGCTTCTGGCAAAGGTCCTGTAGGTAAGAATCTATATGGCATTCTTTGTCAAGTCTTACATTTGGAAGGTGATTTTAAGTAGGCGGAATCATGTTGGACTTGGGTATCTGTGAACCTGAGTTTGATTGTTTTTTTGTTTTTTTTTCAAAAGGGATTTTGGTGTGCCTAAAATTTGCGAGGAGGTCATCACACTGGTCACACCTCTGACCGGGTACACGTTGACCAGTCTTATTCAACGCAAGGGCTAATTTTGTGCGTCAGAGTTTGGGGGCTGGTCAGCTTTCCTTTGGAAAACACTACAACGTTTTATTCTATTACGTAACAAAATTACGTCTTTTTTTGGCAGACTTTTTGTTGTTGTTGTTTTTTGTTGACAATATTGTATAAATGTTGCTCATGTCAATCAGCTTGAAATAAAGTCTTGCGTGGGGAGTTCACCAAATAAGCCAAAACGTTAAACGTGCTTATAGGTAGTTTATTATTTTGTCGAAAGCATCGAAAGTAATTTATAGATATTTTATTGCAGCCGTTCCCACCCCAAGCCTGGACAGCGCCATGGCCATCGAGGCCCGTCTAAGAGAGTTCAAGGAAGCTCTTATCAAAAGTTTCTACATGGACATGTCCAGATAGTAAGTCAGTGTGGTTTATTCACAGTCAGTATCCCTGCTCCCACGTCCAGGAAATAAGTCACTATGGTTTATTCACAGCCACATGCCTACTTCCAAGTCCCGATTAGTAGGTCACCGTATTTTATTTAAAGCCATTAGCCTACTCCCGTGTCCAGGTAGTAAGTCACCTCAGTTACATCACATTGTTATAAACTCACACAATAACTACGGTGAGTACACGTAGGTAACTAGTTGGATGATTAAAGACTATATTAAATAAAGGGACGCAAGCACCACGCCCATTTTACCAAATTGATCGTGAATTATTTACCTTGTTATGCTAGACGAATTTTTGTGGATCTTCCACCCATAAGAAACTTCTATAAATAGAAAGATTATTACATTTTCATTTTTTTTAAAAATAGAGTTGTCAAATCTTTTCAAATTTAGAAAAGAGTGACCCCTATAAATCCAATTTGTCATGCTTACAGCTCCATAGTATATACAAACAGGTCGGGCAGGAAACGATATCTGGGAAAGCTCTTAAGTCTTAAGTTACGGGTGCAACGCCTGGATATTATGTTAACATTTGAAATACCCATCCCCCCCCCCCCTGAGACAAACGGTCGACACGTAAGAGGGAATTAAAGGAGCAACTTTTGGATGGGGGAAGTTACATCGTTTGACTTCAACCACTTCTGGTATTACGGCGCCATCTCCTGTTGTTACTCTGGTGTTGTTTTCTAACAATTGATTGCAGATGGCGCCACGTCACATACCACAAGGATTAATTTCCGGTGTTATTATTAAAAGTCAGAGATTAAGGAGTAAAAAAACAACTAAACGTTCAACTGAATCATGTAAATTTGTAATGGTAACGAAGGGATTCCTGTTTAAAACAGCCACCCCCGCCCAAAATAATTAAATAATCATCACATCAGAGATTTCAAACTTTATAGCACAGCACCCTGTATAACGTGTCTATGCTGGGAAAGGGAAGGGGGGTGGTGTTGATTAGACTAATTCTTTGAGTACTTGCTCTACTCCACTCAATTGTCTTAACTCCATTGCTTGTTTTTTTCCCCTTCCAGCCAAGAAATGGGACAGTTCTTCCGCAGCCAGTTGACAGCCAAACTGAACTTGCTTCAGCAGGTTGAGTCCCAGCTCGCTGCGCCTCTCCGCAGCGCCCTTGCTGACCAAGTGACCAGTCCACGTCTCGGCGGCGCCAGCCCTTATGATCGTCAATAAATACGGGAGTCCAAACGATTGACTCCGGCGGGAGGGGGGCCCCGAGGTTACAGGGAGACACATCGGCAACGGAACAGCAAAATGACCCCCCTCCCCACCAAATCTTCTAATTCCCAGATACCAACATACCTGAGTGTTGAGCATTAATAATTGTCCTAATTTATGCTCGTTTGTCATTCAAGTTATTTTCAACAAATGTTTCGTACAGTAACCTGTATAGTTTCAGCTCAAACCTGAGACACTTTTACACTAAGATTATGTGTATAGATTATTAGTATTACACTTAGCGTATGTTTATAGATTAGTATTACACTTTGCATACTGGTTATCAATGGCACACCTGTTGACATGGTTTCGTGGCAGGGAACAGGTGTGTGGGGAAAAAAAAGGGGCGGGTATTTCGTCCTAGAATGGTGACATTCTTTGCAATTTTTTTTTATTACAATTAAATTTAAAGTAACATCTGTTTCATTTAAATAAGTGAGTAAATTTGGAATAATCAAATACCAGTACAAAACTAAATCAACTTTGATTAAATTTTTTTTGTACAAAATTATTCAGGATTTTATCTGATATCAATCTATGACCAATGTCTCATTTCCCCCCCCCCCTGTACAACGGGTATGGTTAGGTTTAATAGTGAATCAACACATTTCTCTAAAAATCATGGCAAATCCCAGTAGAATCCTGAGTCAAATGACAAATAATAAATGAAATTTCCCCCCCCCCCCCCCCTGTACAACGGGTATGGTTAGGTTTAATAGTGAATCAACACATTTCTCTAAAAATCATGGCAAATCCCAGTAGAATCCTGAGTCAAATGACAAATAATAAATGAAATCTACAGCATTCACTGACCTATCTCCTTCACTGACCTATCTCATTCACATCTCATTCACTGACCTATCTCATTCACTGACCTATCTCCTTCACTGACCTATCTCCTTCACTGACCTATCTCATTCACTGACCTATCTCTTTCACTGACCTATCTCATTCACTGACATATCTCATTCTAATCAATTAAAAGAACAAATAAATCAACAGCAGAGATAATCATTTTTAATAGTTGTGCTTATAGGTCTCTTAGAAAAATCTTTGCAGATCCATCTCATACCCCCCCCCCTTTCCCCATTTACAAATTTATGATCAATAAATAAAGGACACATTTCATAGTTTGTAATGACAGCAAATACGTGTCATTTAATGCAATGACAGCAAATGCACATGTCATTTAATGTCAGGGGTTTCATCAACACTGCCGCCGAATTACACTGAAAAAGTTTCCATGTAAAACTGATAACATCAAATGCAACAATAACATATACATACGGAGAGACATCAACGGGGGAATTGTGTCCCAAGCCTTACGTGAGGTCGTCATGATAGTCGGATGGCGCGAACCCAAGATCGGACCAGCACGCGCCGAGGACATGAGCAAGATCATTGTTGTGCCACTAGGACATTTGTTACATTGGAGTGTATGTTTGTTTGTGTTATTTAGTGTAACTTAGACTCAGTGCTAACTAGCAGTATGACAAAATAGTTTCAGGAACTCAGTGCTAACTAGAAGTTTGACAATGACAAATAGTGTGAGGCAGGTGGACTGTTTTTGTTGAAATACAATGCATTTCATGACCAAAAAAAAAGAAAAAAAAAGAAAGTAGCTGAAATTTCATTTTTCATCACTAGTGTTTTGATAATATGAATGACCTCGCCAGATAAGAAATTTTAATAATTAAAAAAAAAATTAAAACATGGTTTTAGTAGTGCTTACAAAGATGACATTTTATTTAATATTTTCAACTCAAATGTCACCTGTGTTTCCTATAGTAACTTTTAAAACAACAAGCGTTCCTTTTTAAAAAGTATTTCTCATTTTTAACTTGTCTCGAGAATGAATATTTAGCACTATGGCTACAAAGGAAAAGTGATGTGTGTGTTTGACCGTCTGTATGACAGGTACTGTATAAGGCTGTGTTTACACTATGATGAATTTACAAAAGTTGTGTGTGTGTATGCTGTGTCCATCTGTACAAACTCTGGTGACACCAACAAGTCATATTCACTCAGGTTCCCATTGGTCACAAGTTTTTATAAAATGTAAAAAAAAAAAAAGATTATTTAAAAAAAAAAATTGCTTGCTATGTAGCAATATAATCATAAGCATGCATAACATGCTTCATAAAGTAACAACATGTCAGGTTTGGTGGCAAAGTATAGCACTGACCAGGTATAGCACTGGTTTTTATGAAAATACCTGCCATATATAGGACAACCTGCCCATCTTAAAACTTGAGGACATATAATAAGAGAACATATCTTTGATATGTTCATCATTTAAAAAAAAAAACAACATGATTTTTGTAAATCATATTTGAGCACAAACTTTTCAGTTAAGACAAAACATTAATATTTTTTTTATAAATATTTAAATAACGACATTGGAAACAGGGTTTTTTTTCACTTTAGAATAAAAAAAAATGGGACCAAACATAAACAGTGGTACAAACAGGCAGACTGGTTGTCTATGGTCAAAGTAGAAGTAATATCAACAACTTTGAGCTGTAAATTCATTATCGTTCCTGTAAAGATGATCATCGTAAAACATTGACTAAATTACTGGCTGACTTCCTTGGAACATTGACTAAATTACTGGCTGACTACCTTGGAATGTATCAGGGCTCATTTTCATCAAAGTGCACACACAAAAATATAGTCCACAACTAGTTTAGATGTATAAAATAAATTTCCTACTTGTGCTTCTGGAACCTTGAATTTAGATAGAATTATAATACTAGTGTATGCTATTTGAGATCTATACCTGGTACTTGCACTTGGCAGAAAGACTTATCAGGAAATACAAGAGATACAATTCTATTTGGGATCTATACCTGGTACTTGCACTGGGCAGAAAGACTAGTCAGGAAGTGTAAGAGATACAATTTAAAAAATCCCCACCCCCCTTTTTTCTTTCTCCCCCCTAACTTTGGATATAAATTTGGGGTGACAAAATGTGCTATCAATGTCAATAAATGGACAGTTCTCATCTATTTGGGAGAAAGACTTATCAGGAAATACAAGAGATACAATTCTATTTGGGATCTATACCTGGTACTTGCACTGGGCAGAAAGACTAGTCAGGAAGTGTAAGAGATACAATTTAAAAAATCCCCCCCCCCCTTTTTTCTTTCTCCCCCCTAACTTTGGATATAAATTTGGGGTGACAAAATGTGCTATCAATGTCAATAAATGGACAGTTCTCATCTATCTAATAGACTGGGAGTCATCTATTCAACTCACTCCTATTCCAAAAACTCAAACTCAATAAACATTCTAAATGACACAAAACATGAAAATAACTTATCTTGTAAAATTTTCACAAATCTCCAGATTCCAGACAATGGGACGGGAAAACAGGACAATAGATTTTAACGATACAAAAACAATAGATGCATCATACACTGTGTCATGCACTATGTACATCTCTTCACAAGACAGCCACACCATCATATAAAACTATGTACAGTATTGTTACAAGCATCTCATGTCAGCCATTTTCAGATTGATAATTACATTAAGATTAGACTTCCATCAGTGCCATTCATGAACATTCGACCAGACCCATCCAATCATTTCTCATTTGCTCAGCATGTTAGAGCTAACATCTTCTTGTGTTTCACTCACCACACCCATGTATGCTGGCCATTCACTCAACTCTGGTACATATTCCTGCGTATCACTCACCACTGCCATGTATGCTGGCCATTCACTCAACTCTGGTACATATTTCTGCGTATCACTCACCACTGCCATGTATGCTGGCCATTCACTCAACTCATACATATTCCTGCACGTTATAGAAATATCCTGGCCATTCACATGTTCACCATTGATGAACAACATTTTTCCTTACAAGGATATCTCCCTTTGAATACACATCCTAAACTGTCCATCCTGATGTTAGTTGAAATTTACAAAACCACTGTGTTATATTTAAACAAAGCAATTTTCCGTACTCTCCAAGCAGGCACTTGTTGTCCCCAGTTTAAATGATCGCCATCAGACAAAGCCAGACACACGCCAGCAAACACAGCCACAACCTTCACGACACGGCCACCACATCTAAACTGTTGGAGACGGGGACCTGGACTATGCCTCCCCACTGGATCTTGTACTTCTGGTTGCGCCACACAACGTGGTCCTTAAGGTGCCCCATCAGCAGGATGTATGGGGATAGAAACTCGCGCAGGAGCCAGGCCACCACAAACTCAAATTTAGAAAATGGGAGAGGTCCATTCTGTGAAAAGAAAGAGACAAGAAGATTAATATGATCGGCTGAGAAATTGGGTCATTCTGATGTTAAGAGACGTGGACTCACGCAACGGGTGGGTCATTATCCGTATAATTCGTTAGGATAATTTTGAAAAATGTAAGGATGATAATGAGTGAAATTATAAAGAATAAAAGAAATACATCACAGCCCAGGATGAAACATGGGAGGTGGAGGGTTGGGGTGGCAGCCGTAAGGTTGGGGGGGTGGCAGCCATAGGGTTGGGGGTTGGGAGCCGTAAGGTTGGGGGTGGCAGGCGTAGATTTAGGGGTGGCAGGCGTAGGCTTGGGGGGTTGTTGAGTTCTTCCTACTTGTCATGATAATACAGCAATTTTTTAAAATTTTAAATACAATAAAACATTCAACAGTAAATTGTAAAATTCGTTTTTAGTACAATAATGGAGAAGCATGTGTAATAAGAGTAAACAAGACCAGTATTCTATTAAAGAAGAAGAAGAACAAAAAAGGGGGAGGGGGGGGGGCTTATAGTGACAAAGTAAAGTTTGAAATCCGTCTTTAACAGTTAACAAGGGATGTGCCCCTACTCCATGCCATTTATTGACACAAATGATCTGCGCAAACAGGACCAAAGCTTGGGCTGTTAAAAACTAATGGGAATTAGGTCATAGCGACAGGCCGATCTGATCTTGGTCTAGCCCCAACTTTTTGACAAGCCATTCTGAGCTTGGTCTAGCTTTAACTTTGTGACATAAAATTTTAGCTTGGTCTAGCCCTAACTTTTTTGAAAGGCCGTTCTGAGCGTGGTCTAGCTTTAACTTTGTGACAGGCCATTCTGAGCCTGGTCTAGCTTTAACTTTGTGACAGGCCATTCTGAGCCTGGTCTAGCTTTAACTTTGTGACATGCCATTCTGAGCTTGGTCTAGCTTTAACTTCATGACAAGCCATTCTGAGCCTGGTCTAGCTTTAACTTTGTGACATGCCATTCTGAGCCTGGTCTAGCTTTAACTTTGTGACATGTCATTTTGAGCGTGGTCTAGCCCAAACTTTGTGACAAGCCATTCTGAGCCTGGTCTAGCTTTAACTTCGTGACAAGCCATTCTGAGCCTGGTCTAGCTTTAACTTTGTGACAAGCCATTCTGAGCCTGGTCTAGCTTTAACTTTGTGACAAGCCATTCTGAGCCTGGTCTAGCCCCTATAGCTTATTGCCTGGCCAATGTGACTATAGCCCCTTCAGCTTATTGCCTAGCCAATGTGGCTATAGCCCCTATAGCTTATTGCCTAGCAAATGTGGCTATAGCCCCTATAGCTTATTGCCTAGCAAATGTGGCTATAGCCCCTATAGCTTATTGCCTAGCCCGTGTGGCTATCAGCCACAAACCTAATAAGAAAATAGACCTTACACTTACAGTTCAATGACTGAATGGTGCAAGGTTATTATAGCTCATGTTTTAAATGACATCAAGTATAACCAACGTTGTGCACATCTTGTGCACATCTTGGAATCAATGTAACAAAGTATTTGAGTTACTTTAAAAATAAATAACAACAGCAAACTTCATTAAAAATGTGCATTGAAAGAGAGCCATCAGAGCTTGGTTGGTCTACTAGAACATTCTAAGCCTATTATGTTCTACTCTCGCATTACAGCACTCGCTAGCTGTGCTGTCGACGCTTTAAATCACTAGAATCAATACAAGCATTCAATATGCTTTGTATGACTTGAAAGACTCTTGTCTTTTTCATAAAGGGTGGTAGGACCTTGTTGTACTGTTGATTTCTCGGAAGGTAACTCCAAAAAAGGGTAGTAGGACCATGTATAGTTGATTTTACGGAAGATAACTCCAAAAAGGGTAGTAGGACCATGTGTAGTTGATTTTGCGGAAGATAACTCCAAAAAGGGTAGTAGGACCATGTATAGTTGATTTTACGGAAGATAACTCCAAAAAGGGTAGTAGGACCATGTATAGTTGATTTTACGGAAGATAACTCCTAAAAGGGTAGTAGGACCACATATAGTTGATTTTACGGAAGATAACTCCAAAAAGGGTAGTAGGACCATGTATAGTTGATTTTACGGAAGATAACATCAAGACATAATTAATAGTAGTAGATTTCATCATTATGTGATTAAGTGTAGATAATGTAATCAAGATATGATTAAATTATATCGGATTTATCCACACAGTTCAGTTGATTCCATCCATAAAAAATAATCTTTAACTAGGCCATAAACAAAAAAAAACATACAAACAAAAAATTAGAAAGGTCAGATATTCAACGACTGTATGTCCCAATGTCATCATGACTCAATGAAAAAGTGGGTCGCTCGAGATGAAAAAAAAAACCGATAAAATATTTGCCTAGTGGACAGGCTGACGTGAACTACAATCGTGGGTTTGTCAACATAGCCAAATAATCCAATGGTAGCAAAATGAAGAGGAAAGCCCGGGTGGGAAGGGGGTGGGGGGTGTTGATAAAAACTATTTATGGAACAGATGCAGACACGTGACGCTTACAAGCGGGGAAAAGGGGGTGGGGGCATAAGTCACAAGCGGGTGATAGTGAGACGTACACCAAACACAGATTAGAAGATGAACAGCTTATTCACCGACCAGAACAAGATAACGTCAAGTAGATAGAAATTGAGATATGATATCATGCCGTGTCGAGTTTAGTACACACACACTCATTGTATAGGGCTATGGAATGTTATCAACGTGTAGGGAGTGGGGGGGGGCGGGCGACGACTGATGGTTGAGATGACTGTATGTATACAACAATGTCGCCCTGTCTTTACACGCCCACCTGTTGAAACTTTTCGTCTACTTCAGGTAAACCCTTTCAGATGAGGGATTCAATGAATACTTCGTAAATTACACAATAGGAATACAGCAAGAGCTCGACTTACGACCTATGCAACTTACGACCATTCGATTTTACGACCACATCGGCAATTATGATTTATAACAATAATACAAGAAATTTATGATGTAATATAACTTAAGTATTTTTATACCACACTTCACATTACTGTACACATAGCTTACTCAACTTACGACCAAATCATGTTACGACCGGTGTGTCGGAACCGATCGTGGTCGTAAGTCGAGAACTTGCTGTATTAGAAAATATCAAGTAGTAGGTAAATATCCCCCCGTAGAAACTTAAGTTCATTCGAATGGTAAAAAAAATGTACAATTGTTTCAGTTAAGTCAGGGGAAGACGATACAACTAGGATATTTTTTTATAAATTACAGTTTAATGTAACCTGTGGGTCGCGACCCCTTTTGGGGATCGAACGACCGTTACACAGGGGTCGCATTTATGAAGTCCGTCACACAGGGGGTCGCATTTATGAAGTAGCAACGAAATAATTTTATGGCTGGGGTCGTCACAACATAAGGAACCATATTAAAGGGTCGCGGCCTTAGAAGGTTGAGAACCACTGTGTTAGAGTTAAATTATTATTATTTTTGTCCCTTTGGTTTGAAATATTTACAACTACCTCTCATTGGGGACGGGATGTCAATATGAATGTCACCTACCCAACGACCCTGTAACAATGTGATTATAAATAAGCCTATAATATCGTGTAACTTTAAATCATTTAAAGATCCCACCCCCTTCCAAAGGGTCCATATAGGCTACTTGCTAAAAGATATATATATATATATATATATATATATATATATATATATTGCTGACAAAGTCAATAAGATATTTGCATTAGCGACTAGAGAAATAAAACCAATGGTTGTTAATAAGCATATAATATAGTGTAACTTTAAATCATATAAAGACCCCACCCCCCTCCACAGGGTCTATATAGGCTACTTGCTAAAAGATATATATATATATATATATATATATATATATATATATTGCTGACAAAGTCAATAAGATATTTGCATTAGCGACTAGAGAAATAAAACCAATGGTTGTTTATTCAAGATTCGCCTATCTAACAAGTCTGACCCACTATATTCTCAGTTGGTGGGTATTTATAGAAGCCCCCCCCTCTCCCTCTTTTTGCATGAATAGGTGCACCGCGAATTTGACGGTCAATGTTTTCAAGTCGTTCAGCAAGTCTGGATAAAGGGGGAGACAGGATCGCGAAACTACGCAAGAGTTGCCGTCAGACGAACGTCACAGCCAGAGAGACCTCTGTTTTGGTAACAGACGTGTTCATAGCAGCAATCCCCAATGAAATCAAGCAGGCGTCCTTTAACTGGGCAACAGCCAGCCAATCAATTTCTTAAAGATTTTGAATAGCTTACCAGTCGGTAGGTAGCATGGAGCTGGCTCCCCCACAGAGCCGCGACACACAAAAACTTGGATACGGTGAAGGCAAGTTGGTGCAATTTAATTTGGCAGACGATCAAGGCGGTTGTGAAACCGCGCGTGTAAACCAAAGAGAGTTTTGTCAGTGTGGCCTTAATGAGGGAAAAATGGGGGGGGGGGGGAAGCAGAAACAAGTGCACTACACGGTACAGTAAATGCCGGCACGCACTCCGCATTCATGGCGACACGTATCGATCTCTGTAACCAAGCCGGACTATCAAATGTAGGACAGCGGGCACTCGCTAGAGTAGTTTTGAGTCCCTAATGACGTGTTGTTGTTTACACGTGGGGGAACCAGGTGAATGAATATCCCTTTGACATGTCACCGACAATTGATGTCAGTAGCAATGCTGGCTGGCCCTCGTGATGCAGGGGCATATTTATAAACGTGTTTACCTTCACTTGACACACAACACACCTGTAAAAGACAGAACTTCTCTCCCCCACCTCCCTTTTTTTCCACCTTTCTTTCTTTCCCTTTAAAATAGGCAATGTCAGCATTTTATAACAGTATATTTAATGTTCATATTTTACTGAACATGTAAAAGGTTCACTGACCTTTGATAAGGATTAATCATAGTTTGGAAATGATTAAGTTTTAAATAGGGAAAGAAAAGGAAGGAAAAAAAAAAAGAGATGTTGCTAATAAAATATAGATACAATTATTGTTACCAAATCTCTTCTTAATGTCTCCCTAAAGATGTTGATCAAATGTACTAAAGTCTATCACATCTTTACTGCCTAGGTTTTATTTTGAATGCATTTTATTGTGCATGCTCAACTATCCAATCTTGTGACTATGATTCAATATTTTATTACTGAATAAAACCAGTGAGGACTTGGTTTTAAAAGAGTGTAGGACGCTTGTTAAAGAAACAAATTCACCAGATATTGTTACAAAACTTGGAAACCTATTCAGAAACAATTAAAGTGAAAGGTGCAAATTATTTTCAAAAGGAAGTCTCTTGTCATTATATTTTTTTTTCATTAGGTTGCCTTGATCTAAATATTCTGATGTTTGCTTTGACCCCTCCAAGGAACTGGAAGGTACAGATGTTTTGTTAAGTTTACAGGTCAACTGGATTTAAAAACGTAAGAGGAATATAGAATATCTCCTAGAATTCGTTAATATTAGGAAATGAGGTCAATGGTCAGTGCCTGATTAGCCTAAAAACAAAATAGACAATATTCCTATGGGCAACGTTGTTTGCAAATTTAAAATATCTTTATTTTGAATTGCTGTGATCTCTAACATAAAAGTAATGCATTAATGTCCAGACATGTCTCCATAAAGAACACGTTAAGGAACTAATCTGAGGAAAGCAATAATGACGGAAAACAAAACATATTATATAAACTTTTCCTTGGAAGGAAACCTACGAAGTGTGGCTTCAGAGCAACTGTCATCATTTGATATGACCAGATTATTGAACATACAGCAGGCAGCACGATGACATGAAGCAGTTGGAACAAGAATTATCAAGTGTAATGGAAAGCCTTTAATGGATTTTTAAAGCCAGACATCTATCATATGGACCAAATGACAGTGGCTTTTTCAAAATGTTGGGGTCATCAGAAGGTCAAGTGACAAAAAAACCTTTTCTGGCATGCACCCCCATAACAATCATCACTGGAGAAGTACAGTGAAGAAAATAGGTCGGATTGATACAATGTTCTACAAAGCACCAAGAAAAATCAGCATGCAACATTCCCAGCTGTCAGCTGGTTTTTGCTGCAGATGGTTGAGTTGGGACAATTACATTACTAGCTGGTTTTTGCTGCAGATGGTTGAGTTGGGACAATTACATTACTAGCTGGTTTTTGCTGCAGATGGTTGAGTTGGGACAATTACATTACTAGCTGGTTTTTGCTGCAGATGGTTGAGTTGGGACAATTACATTACTAGCTGGTTTTTGCTGTAGATGTTTGAGTTGGGACAATTTTATTACTAGGAACGAAGCAATGTACAATAATTTTCTCAGCATTTACCAACCTTTGGACTCAAACTTATGCTCAATGAAATAAGAAGAAGTACAAGGGAGGAGACTTTAAAAAAAATCCTTGGCATTGTAAAGAAAATACAAGCATCATAGAAATAAAGCTAACAACAAATATCAAAGAAAAAATGGCTACCAATCGGGTCAATAATTGTCAGATATTATTCGTATTGACAATCGCACAGTGACAGGATGAATCCTCCTTCAGTCACCGGATAAGAAAAAAACCCTGATTAATAAAGTTATTTTGAATGTAAAAAGCCACGAACAACTGGTTTTGCGCATGTGATCGAGAAAGCTACTTTCATCAGTTTAGAGCATGATTGCAAATTGGATGGAACTTTTCTTGTAAAAAAGCAACCATCCTAGTTACAACACTAGTGAACATACTTTTTTAAATTTGATCACGCCTACCCTCCCCCCCCCACCCACCACCCCAAACCATCTTAAAAGAACAAGAAGAAATAAATAAATGAAGGGACTGCTTTCAAGCTATGTAAATGAATGAAATAGTGAAACGAGGTATGTGGAAGCTTGAAATAAGGTAACAGGACAAAAAACCCTTTTCTTTGTTATATTTTCATTTCTATTGTTGGCTGAGGAAGGCTTTATGCCGAAACGTCCTTGTTTTTTGTCCTGTTACCTTATTTCAAGCTTCCACATACCTCGTTTCACTATTTCATTCATTTAAAAGAACAAGCACAATTAAACAACAAATACAAAACCAACCTTCATTATTTAAATACACTGCATGCTCTATAGTGCATGATACACAAGTGTTTTATAAATGCACTATATGCTCTATATTGTGTCATCGTATGACACACTTGTTTTATAAATGCACCCTAAAAACTGGGTTATAGAAAAATCTGCCAAAAGGCTGCTGCGATCTGCCAACTAATTGGTGTAACCAAAATAAGAAAAAAACTAAAAACAAAAAGTTCTCATGGGTAAAAAGCCTGACAAAAATCATGGTGCACTTATCCCAGTAATTGACTCAGTAATCTTAAACTCAAAGGTGCATGCTGATCTGGACAGCTTAACTCAACTATCTTGACTAGAATATAATCAACCTAAAATCAAAGGTGCATGCTGATCTTGACAGCTTAACTCAACTATTTTGACTAGAATATAATCAACCTAAAATCAAAGGTGCATGGTGATCTTGACAACTTACCTCAACTATCCTGAATAGAATGTAATCACTGAGAAACCAGAGGAGGAAGTGGCCGAGGAAGAAGGCCAGTGGAGAGACATCAAGGAGGAAGTTAGCCGCCCATGAAGTGAGCACACCCAGTACCACACTCTCGCCAACGGGTTCCAGGAAAATCAATGTCGGTAACATGGACATCCGAAGTTGAGCCCATCTGTGGAGGGGAGAATTTTCAATCAAATAAGTAAATATGTTGATCTAATTCAAGCGTATGACATTCACAGTTCAAGAAAGGTTATGAATTCTGTTAATAACAAAGAAATGATTGGTATGAATGCAAGAATTACCTGGTCAGCCTGTTATGAAACTCCGAGATGGAACAGTTGCCAGAGTTCTGTAGAGCAGGAGTTGTTGCTAGAACCACTTTGAAACCTCTGTGGAAGAGATGTGATGAGAGCTGTTACATCGTGACAAGTTCAGCTTTAAGTTGCAGACAAAGAGTAAAATGGACGGAAAAACTGGTAAGCAATAACAGAGAGTGGTAGAGAAATTGTAAATAAATGTCAAAAACTCATAATTATCATGCAGCACCAATAACAAGGTTTCATTATTATTATTCTTATTTTTATACCGTTTTTTCTGTTGTTTTGTTCGCTGACGAAGGCTTTCTGCCGTCTCGTTCGCTGTTTTGTTGCGTTTATTTATTTTTTTTTTTTTTCAGGTTTAACCCTACTCTGTTTTACTCATTTTATTTTCATTATTAATGGGATTAAACAGCTTAGTTTTTTTTCCCCCATGTTTGTGTTCATAGGCTGAATTGTGTGACTGCATCATATGAACCACTCACCATCACAAAATAAATCAAAGGTTTAATGCCTACTAAAACATTTTTAAAAAACTCAAAACAAGATGAAACGATAAAACAATCGCATGACACTAAGTATTGGCTGCTCAACAAGACCAAGACTTACTGAGCACGGATTGCCTGTGCCATGAAATGGTCCTCTGCAAGATATTTGCCAAACTCTGCCAGTCCACCGGCTTTATCCAGAACCTCCCGGCGCAGCAGGCTGGACATACCTGTAGAGCAGTTTATGTTCACTGCGTTGGCACTCAAGCAATTCCTTGCTTGCATTGTGCCAAAATACACCTGCAAAAAATTTCGCCAGAGTTACAAAGATCTTTAATTTTCACGCCCTAATATAATCTAGTTGCGACAACACCAGACCACAATGAAAGAAAAGATGAAATAAAAAAATTGATGTGCAGATTTGGGACTTATTCAAGGCATCAATGAACTCCAGAACTATTTCAGAAGTATTATTCCAGGAAAATTTGCTTTAAAAAAATCTTCATCTTATTCCCACTACTATAACTTGCAAATTTCTGTTGTTTTCTAGTTTGCATACGTTTTTTTAATTAAAATTACCATTAAATAAATATTTTAGATATAGTGAGGAGATTCATAAACATATGTTTTTATCCAGAGAAGATAAGCATTTAACTAAACATACAGTATTTTTTATTGGCATAAATTAACCTTCACCTAACATGTTTACCCATTTGACAATACATATCATAACATCTTTAAAAAGTTTCAAAAAATCTACACCCCTGCTCCTCATAAGTCTCTTTGTAATTGTAAGCATATACCTGCTGATAGACTGCCCCAAATCCTTTCCTAGTGGCACAATATGGCATCTGTAAGACCAGGCCAACATCAGGCTTTAAGCAGTGAACCATCTCATACAGGGTGTTAGGGGTCACTGGAGGAACACAAATAACAGAATTCTTAAGGATGTAAACAACATGAATATATCAGTTGCATCTTGAACTGTTTTGTAGTTTTCCACTGAGCCTTAACAAAAGTCCAAATGAACATTTGAATGCCAAGTTAAGAATACAGAAAGATGGTGCTGAAACATCTCCAACTTACTCTTGATTCCCGTATCAGAGATGACGATATTGTTATATATCGCTGCCTCATACGGACAGATCATATTGTTAATCTTTCCATTAGGACCAACATTCTTCAACCCTGAAAAAAAATTAAGAACAGTTTAAAATTTAAAAAAAAAAAAAAAAAAAAAAAAAAAAAAAAAAAAAAAAAAAAAAAGACGAAAAAAAAAAAAAAAAAAAACACAATAAAAGACGAATAAATAAAAAAAAAAAAAAAAAAAAAAAAAAAATAAAAAAAAAAAAAAAAAAAAAAAAAAAAAAAGACAATATCACCACCAACAGTGGCAATAATTACCATTTTGTTTCCTTAAAAAAACAAACCACCCGTAACCAAATTCTGAGGTAAAAATTTAAAAATTGCTATTTTTTAAATTTCAATATTAACAAGACTATAATTAAAGTGTACTAAAAAAACTACACTTTATAAAAATAAATAAATGATTTATAAAGTTATTTCACAAACAGTAAAAATTCCAAACTCACATGCAAAATAAGCATGAATCAAAGTGTTAAAGCTAACAACCCTATTTAAAAAAAAGGATAAAAAGATAAATATTTTTTTTTTAAATGGAGCCAAAATCAACATCAACAGTGACGAGAGATAGCTGTTTCTTTTCTTTAAAAAAAAAAAAATCGTAACCAAATTTTGAAGTAACAAGTGTAAAATTACTATTTTTTTAAATTTCAAAATTAAAGACTATCTATTGTGAACTGGGCTTAAATGTTTTTTTAAATATACTTTTTTTTACAAAAATTGATGATTTCTCAAGTTACTTCACATACAGTTAAAATTCCAAACTAACAAGCAAAAAAATGCTATAAATGAACTGATTCAATAAGGCTGCCTAATACCACAGACTGCAAGCTTCCTTTGGGGAATGTTAAAACTAGCAATTCCAAACTAACAAGCAAAATAAGCGTGGATTAAATTGTTGAATGCTAACAAGCCAGTAAATTATACACACCTATAAATAATTTTGCATCTACTTTGGGATAACTGTCAATCAAACTTTTGACAACAAGTATTGCTGGATCATTGTCATCTTGCACACTAAAAAGTAGTTCATACTGAAAAAAGTAACAAAAAGAAAAATTAATTGCTGAATAAGTAATTATTTGATTGAATTGTAGGTTAAAAAACAAACCAACAGCCTATTGTTCATCTATCCTTAGGCCTGTAAAATTGAAAATCATTTTTTTTTTACAATTGTCTTAATGTCTATCTAGTGTGAGTCTGTATACTGTGTTGTCTATCTAGAGTGAGTCTATATATGCCTACTGTTTTATCTATCTACTGTGAGTCTACATTTAATGTGTTGTCTGTATGCTGTGAGTCTATATACTTCGTTTTCTATCTACGGTGAGTCTGAATATAATTTTTTGTCTATATTATGCGAGTCTATACTACACTGTGTTGTCTATCTACTGTGAGTCTATATGTATATATAATGTGTTTATATGCTGTAAGTCTATATACCGTGGTGTCTATATAATGTGCTTTTACTTGAGCTAATTTCCTGCTACCTTAGAAAATAAAAAGTAAAAGATAATTATGCTTGAAGACTACCTTACAAATAGTTCAAATATCAATCACAATTCACATCTGGTGATAAGTTTTCTTGAAAAAAATATTTTAAGGAATATAATTTTCTCCTTCATCTTGTGATTGTATTAGAAAATTTCATTGTGGAAAAAAAAAAAAAAGAACACAACTTTGCTACAGTAATGTACAACTAAAAAGAGACATCTGCCAATAAAAATGCTACAAATTAACTGACTCAATAAGGCTGTCTAATACCACAGACTGAAAGCTTCCTTTGGGGAATATTAAAACCTGTTATCAGCCTGAAACAACCTAACTAAGACATACACTTTTTTTTTTTTTTAAAAATTCTTCTTTTAAATCTTACTTTTGGATAATCCTGTGTGAAAAAAGTTTCCAAGTTACTCTTCAAGTTAATATCAACTCCAGTCAAAGGTTTGATTATAGAGACCCCAGGTAGTTCTTCTTTGGGGATGACAGGTTCCAGTTTCTTGTAAAGATGGCGGACGCTGCAAACAAGACAGAGATAATAATTGTTTTATTTACATAACACATTTGTAGGTAGGGTATTTTTGAAAAGTTGAAAGTCAGCACAAAAAAATTTCCATTCCAAACCAACAAACTACAAAGGCAGTGTTAAAAACAGTAATGTTGTTAATATCAGTGCTTTCAAATATTATATTAGTTGCGAACCATTTCCAACTAATTTAAGTTTTAAAGTTTAAAAAAAGACAACTTAAACCAATATTTTTATATTTGACTGGAAGCCTTGACTATATGTAAATTTAATGGGTTTTGTTTAAATTTCAGGTATTGTAGTAATCTACAGTCAACTACTCACCATACTGGTGTCATTTAAATAACAAAACCATTCATTGAATTTCTAGCCTGATAAGTCTTGACAAAACATAACACAAAAAGTTTCAGTAAGCGTTTTTTTTACTTTGGTTGCTGTGACCCACGAACTTATGTCCTATATGTATCCCTAAACCTAACCAGAACCCTAAATCTATCCCTAAACCTAACCTGAACCCTAAACTGGCTTTTGACCCTATCCGAAGCAGGGTGTTATCTCTTAACATTAGCCCAAGTTTCAATCAATGGAGAGGCACTTCTTTAGTTATTTTCATATTTACAATGATGGACAAAGGAATACATTCACATCATTAATTATAATAAAATAATTATATTATTTTATTAAATAGGCCAATAGAAAAGGGCTTATCATTGAGAGTTATCATGTTTACTTCTGTGATACCATGTCAGTGCTAAGTGTATACCTACCTGATCCTGGGTTTATAAAGTTTATTATTGTTGTGATGAACACATTTTTATAAGACAAACATCAATTATTAAAGAAATGCCACCAATGTTTATGAGTTAATAATGTTATTTCAATGTGTTATTCTATTTTTCAAATTTATAATAATATCAGTCAGATTTGAATTAAATAGCTTTTTCACTATTTAAAAGTAAGAATTTATATAAGTTATTTTTATAAGAATATCCATTTAGTTTAGTATTTATTATTTAGCTTTAGTCTGGGCTTAGTTACTTTATGAACTTTACATTATAGTTAGGCCTAGGATTCATGATAATCAACATCTAACTAAAAACACAGTCAGTCAATAAAAACAGGAAATGTAATGGATGGGTACCAACGGAGATCAAAATCAAAGTATAGAAACACAGACTCTGATAGATTCAGCACAGTAAAGGTGTGTTATGGCTATGGGCACTCAAATGATCAACTAAAATTACTCACCCAAAACAAATTGAGATGGTATGAATAAACCATGATATAAACCATCCTATTATGACCGCAATAGCTATTACGGTAGCCCCAATGGCGAAATGATCAACCGTCATAGCTTCATGGTGTTAAGAACTGGCCTTGACTGAGCCGACAATTTTGTAGTCCTACTACCTGTCTAAAGGTGTCGCACGAAACGGAAAGATGACTCAGTGACGTATACCACCCATCTCAGTATGCCAGGTAATACACGCGCGCACGGTAACCACCGTTTTCGAATAAATTTGTTTTCTTACGTCTGAACTATTATAATTAATACTAGTTAATATAACGACCGTTTAAAAAGTATGCATATAATCTTTATCTTATTCTAAATCAGAAAGAGGCTCGGCGTGAGTCACTCGGTTGATATCAGCGACTTGTCGGAAAAAAACTGGCAAGAATACCTGCGACAGCAAGGACTGTGTAGACCACGACTGTCAACAGATTCGGTTTACGTTGGCGTTGGTGACGTCAACATTCTTCTCATAGCTCCAAAATCACTGCAGTTTGGGGGAAAAAAGGGGGGGGGGCGGCTTTAAGGGGGCAGGAAGGAATGTATGTGAGGGGCCAGGCTAGTTGGGGGTTAAATGGGGGTGGGGCAATTATCACTGATTATCTTATGATCTCGGTATTATTGAAATTCTCTAATAAGTCTCATCTGTTTCAAATTCTGTTTACAATCCTAAATTCTTTTAAGATATAGTATCTATCATTTAGCATACTGAGTTGTCTTATTTCAACATTCATTTGGTGTTAGATTCATATAGGTGTCATATGTGCAGCACCCAGCGGTGTAGCTAGGTTTAGCGCCCCCCCCCGGGGGAGGGGGGGGGGGCTGGACAAGTTTTTTAAAGCCCTTATTCCACGGAAAAAACCCAACCTGTATGGTTAATTCGAAAATGCCACCTTTTCAATATATTACAAAAAATTGCCCCTACCCCAATGGTAGCCCCCTCCAACTGCCCATTTAGTTTCTGACTCCAACTATTATCTCATTATGGGTTCCTCCATTGCATTTACTGAGGTCGTAAATTAAATTATTGATCACTTGATGAAAAGAAGACACAAAAAAGACCATCATCCATGGACACCACTAAAACTATTGGAGGATATCATAGTCTACAATTGAAGAGTTCCATTGTAATCAGGCCATCATCCATGGACACCACTAAAACTTATTGGATGATATCTGATTTAAACTCAAGTCAGGTAGTTAATCGATTTGAAAAAAAAAGAACAATAAATGGGCACTAGTAACGACCTTTAGATGGTCACAAAATGAAATATAAGACTACGGTCGAGTATGGCTATTCATTTGTAATTGTTGCGCACCGGGTCGCACCTAATATTGTGTTTTATTGTACGTGTGCGTCTCGTGTGAAGTTTGGTTAATGTGCGTTTCTGGTGGAATGAGGCCTGTGACGTATTTTATGTATATTTGTGGCGTGATTTTATGCAAATGTGACGTAGTGTATGGGATACATTCACATTTTTGTAAATCAGAGTAGCTTGCCCGTAGTTTCACCCTATTTTTACCTATTTGCACTGGTTCCAAAATCACGTTTGTTGTTTCTAAACTCGATTCCAGTAAATTAAGTAGTGGTAATTAAAACATACCCAATAATATAGTTTTTAAAATAAAATTTATACTTTTGACTACGAATAGTTTCTTTCCTCTCAGTTCACGGTGACGTCACCTGATCCATGTTCAGGCCTACTTAGCCAAACCATGACAACCGCAAATGATATGAAAGCGGAAATGATACGAACCAACCCATTATGCTCTTTTTTCATACAAGCCTACAAAAATTATTTTTTTTCCTTCGTGATCTTGCCCCATATAGTCCGTTCTTTTATGTTTTTAGAGTTAGAGCGGGAGCATTGAGTATGTATATGGTATTTCAGTAACGAACTGCGCCCAATGTGTTTGAATTATTGTACGACCAGATGATAGAGTAGCCCGGATGAAAGTGTACGTTTGTTCTTATAATAGGACCTGCGATCAGTTAAATCAGATTATGACGTAAGAACGTGTGAATGAGCTTGAAGTGTGAAAACCACTTATTACAGATCGTGACAATTACTTAACAAAACACACCAAAAAAATTATTTTCTCCCTGGGTCCTTTGAACAAGTCTGGTATCAGCCCGGGTAATTAGTCTTGAATGTGTGTATAACGTCATGCTGGAACGCATTTTTTTGGCGCATCCGCCGTTACCTAGGACATGCGTGTATTTCTTGTTGGAGCGATTGAACACAGACATCACAGCGATTTCAGTGCATTCGATATTATGAAAACCAATCAAGGTATCGTAAAGCCGACCCGTGTGCCTGTTCCGCTTCACTGCGCCCGTGTCTTGTCTTCCATGTTTTTTTGATCACCTGGAAAGGAAAAGGGGGTGGGGCATTAAAAAAACGGACCTTTTTTCCCCAGGCGTATTCAGTTTACGTCACTGGCCATTTAAATCAATATGGACTGGTACAATCATGTTCATGGTTGGCGCGCACCATACGAAATTCAACCATTCTCTTTGACAGACGACCGCCAGGAAGTCCACCTTATGTCTATTTAGAAGCAAGGATTAGCATAAATTGAATAAGGACTGACTACGACTGAAGGGTCAGTGGCCGAATAACCAAAGACCAAACGAGGCCATGGTCACTTCCCGGATGGCAAGATCTGGAAAAAAAAGGGGTGGGGGTGGGGTTTGCATAAAACATCTCAATATGAGATGACAGTGAACTACTCTTAGTTGGCAATATTTTGTTGTTACACATTTTATTAAATTGAAATACCTTTTAACGATTCAAATTATGAAAAAGCTGGCTAATGTAGTGTTTCCCAAAGTGGTGGTCAGAGGACCCTCACTGGTCCTCACAACATGGGCCAAGTAACGGAAAAAAAAATGAACATTTGTCCTCTCAAGTCATGTCAAGGCCAATTTCAAAATACGAGACTGTTTTGTTTATATATTATTATCAACTTTTGGACCTACTAGTGTTTTTTAAAAATAATAATAATTTTGTAAATTCCCTTTAAAGACCTACGTTTTAGATATATATTAAATACTTATTTTGAAGTGTTTAAATAACAACAAAACAAGCGAGCCCTACAGCCATTAAATCGTAATATTGTAATTATAGAGTCTTTAATGAATTGGCTGCTGACGGATTTTTCAAAAATGAACAGGTTCATGATATATTTAAAGGGCAAAGAAAAATAATTAAGAGATGTGTACAATGGGAAACGTGTCCCCTTAAAAGTCTAGGAAGTACTGGGCAAACAGTTGTTAATTTTTTTGCACTAAAATTTGTTCATAACAATAAATGAACGTAAATTACGATAATGCCATATCTGGTGTGATAACTTATCTGAAGTTTATCGCACAGTTTGATTCTACGATTACAATAAATATGTTTTTTTTTTTTTAAATATCTAAAACAAATTAGCTATACACGCAATTGATAGCATTAGCATTGAATCATGTTCAGTGTTATACTTCTCTATATGGTAGGCCTATCATTCATAAAAAAAAAAAAAAAATTTTTTTTTTTTAAATATCTAAAACAAATTAGCTATACACGCAATTGATAGCATTAGCATTGAATCATGTTCAGTGTTATACTGTTCTATATGGTAAGCCTATCATTCATAAAAAAAAAAAAAAAGTCATTTAATAACATTGAACCATTTTTGGTGTTTTGCTGCTCTGTATGGTTGACCCATCTTTCATTTATTTGTAAAAAAAAAAGTTATTTAATAAAATTGAGCCATCTTTAGTGTTATGTTGCATGCTCTGTGTGGTTGGCCTATCTTTAATTTTGTAAAAAAAATAGCTATTACAACTTTTGAGATTAATTTAGGAGAGGCAACAAAATTTAATATAAATATATAAATAAACAAGCTCCAAAAAATGGGATTTCCTGTGCTCTTTATTAAGACAACATTTCATGCATGACTTACAACCATTTCAACAACAAACTGTCAAGAACAAACATCTGTGACCCACACATCGTCTTTAGGAATGGTTTTTGAAGTTTGAATTAGGTAAACAGTTTGATTAGGCAAAAAGACTTGGCCAAAAAAAAAAAATGTTCGGTTTCAAAAAGTTTAAACTGTGTGGACAAGTAACTGAGGACTCTGAAAAGAATCACGAGGATCTCACCAAATCTTAAAGATAACTGACTGATTAAGTAATTTTGTCACAAAGGGAGGTCATTCATGGCTGATTTCCTCGCTAGAGAAATACGTTATAAAGATTTCTTAGCCTTGTGTTTAATAAATTGTTAGAACTGTAAAATGTTGTCTTGGTTAAAAATATATGTAATGTAAGCCTATTAATTTATGTTCTGGAAATGAATATATAAAATGTGATTAAAAAAAAAATTTCCACTCATTTGAATCAATAAAGAATCTTATCGTATCTTATCTTATTTATAATTTTAACACAAATAAACGTAACTTTACACGTAACTTAGACGCATATACAAAGCTATAGACGCATGTAAAAAGCTAATAACACATGTAAGAAGCTAAAGACATATGTAACAAGATATAGGCACATGTAACAAGCTATAGACAGATGTAACAAGCTAAAGACACGTGTAACAAGCTATAGACAAATGTAACAAGCTATAGAAAAATGTCACAAGCTGTAGACACATGTAACAAGCTAAAGACACATGTAACAAGCTATAGACTAAACTATACACGTAAGATAGACGCATTTACAAAGCTATAGACGCATGTAAAAAGCTAAGGATACATGTAAGAAGCTAAAGACATATGTAACAAGATATAGGCACATGTAACAAGCTATAGACAGATGTAACAAGCTAAAGACACACTTAACAACCTAAAGGCACACGTAACAAGCTAAAGCCAAATATAACAAGCTATAGACACGCATGTAGCAAGCTAAGGACACTTGTAAAAAGCTAAAGACACATGTAACAAGCTAAACACAAATGTAACAAGCTATTAGACACATGTAACAAGCTAAAGACAAATGTAACAAGCTATAGATACATGTAATAAGCTAAGGACACATGTAAAAACTATAGACAAACGTAACAAGCTATTTATTGAATTCATCGCATTGTAAACATGTTTGCCTTCACACACGTTGGACGAACATTGAGCAAACAGTGTGGGGCAGTCTGGGGACACCTTGAACAACAAAAATAACCACATCGAAGGTCTCGACACACGTAATTAGTTGACCGACACAACACAAATGACGAGCCCTTAAAACACACAGATTTCTATGACTCAAAGTGTTTGCATAAGGTCGTTAGTGTTAACACGTAGCGTGGATTTCTTGTTTATTCCCGATGGTGTGCCGACATAACACATTCTTGCCGATGGTCTGCCGACATAATACGCTCTAGCCCAGTGGTCGAAAAATCACGGCTCGC